AGGAAGAATCATTGACATCCTGTGATACGCAGATGATACAATCTTGCTTGCTCAAAGTGAAGAAGACTTGAAGCACTTAAGTCTACTCATATGGATTACCTCCCAATATAAAACAAAAATCCTCACAACTGGACCAATACACAACTTCATGATAAATGGAGAAAAGATTTCATTTTACTTGGATCCACAATCAACCCCCATAGAAGCAGCAGTCAAGGAATCAGACGATGTACTGCACTGGGCAGATCTGCTGCAAAAGACCTCTTTGAAGTGTTACAGGGTAAAGATATCACTTTGAAAACTAAGGTGTGTCTAACCCAAGCCATGGTATTTTCAATAGCTTCATATACATGTGAAAGCTGGACAGTGAATAAGGAAGACTGAGAAAGAATTGATGCCTTTGAATTGGGTGTTGGTAAAGAATACTGAAAATAACATGGGCTGCCAGAAGAATGAACAAATCTGTCTTGGAAGAAGTACAGCCAGAATGTTCCCTAGAAGTACTCATGTACTTTGGTCACATTATGAGAAGAGACCAGTTCCTGAAGAAGGAAATCATGCTTGGTAAAGGAGAGGGTCAGTGAAAAAGGGGCAGACCCTCAATGAGATGGACTGGCACAGTGGCTGCAGTGATGGGCTCAAGCACAGCAAGGATTGTGAGGATGGCGCAGGACTGGGCAGTGTTCCATTCCACTGTACACAGGTCACTATGAGTCAGAACCAATTTGATGGCACCTGACAATAACAACATGAGCTTAATTAGTCCTTATGAATTAGTGTCTGATTATAAAAGCTTAATGAGACAATGTTGTGCACAGAGAAATTTCAGTGAATATGAGAAAATCCTGTTACCCTCTATGGTTATTTCCTAGTGCAAAAAATTTTTTTCTGGATCTTTAAGCAATTAGTATGCAAAACATAAAGATGTTCTTCCAATGTCCAAGACATCTGCAATTTCTGCGCCTGCCCCACTGCACTCAGTAAGAGCTTACCTGCATCCCTGCCAGGGCATATTGGGCCAGCTTCACATTCTTGGATTCCAGTGCCAACTGGAGAGGCAGCAGACATTTCTCCCTGGGAAACATAAATCAGGACAACATGTAAACAGCAGAGCTAGCAGTCTAGTGATAGAAGCCTTATGGAGTCCCTTCCCCAAGCCATCACACATACATAAAAATGCAACTAATAATGAAAATGCACATGAGATTGAAAGGAAAAAAAAAACAGCCAAAATGCTGCATGGAGATGATAGCTTATCAGCAGCTTGCTTTTTTAGTATGGATATAGGAAGAATGAACACTAGAGTTCTCAATTAAATGTTTCAGTGTAGGGCCTTCAGAAGTCCATGAATATGCCTCACTCTTTCCCAAATAAATGCCGTTGCTCATATCCAATATCCCAGGGGTGAACAGCTCTAGGAATCATCATTCTCATTGTTTTCTCTGCCTTGTTCATACCACCGTGTCACCTAGAAAGCAAATGCATCACCAACAACCCATCCTCGTCAATGTAACTTGAAATTTTACCAATTGGTCAATTCCTCCCCAATTTGAAATGTTTAGTAATCATTCATAATTTAAATGTTTGCTCTTTAGTCTCCATGAAAAGGTAGGTAAGAATTTTGTGACAGGTTCTTCATAAACATATTTCTAGGACAGAAATATAAGCAAACCATCAACAGCCTTGGCTGGTGAAAAGCACCTAGGTACAACATGATATGGTGTCATGGGAGAGACTGAAACAAAGAAATAGAAAGCTATTTAGATAGTTTAAAGCTCAGAAACATAATATATGGGCACTAAAATATGTTAAGAACTAAACAAAGAGACCTACAGAGGCAAAGATATTTTTGTCTGAAGCACTGACTCTAAATAATTAAACAGACCAAGAATTTTAATCAACCCATTATTTCCCCACGGAGTCACAGTAGCACAACAAATGAAATGTTACTTAATTTTGCCAGGTTCTTCCATCCCCACATAAACCAGAGCAGCCCCATTTTTTATCTATTTTATTGTAGGATTGTATCTTTGGAGAATTGAGGGTCACTGTTGTATCATACAACAAATCAGAAAGTTAATAATAGTTCTGATTCCTTCTTGCCTACCCTAAAGTTCACTGCTTTTCCAGTGAATCTTCCATCAGCAGCTCTGTAACAGATGAAGAATAACTCTGTAACAGCTCTATATAGATGCCCTATAATGCTGGCCACAAAGACTGTATGAAAACCAACTCAGTCAGGGAGAACACTGGCCTTCCTAATCCTTCTCACTTCCCCTCTACCATCCCAGTGTTACAATGTCCATTTTTCCAAGACAGATGATTAACACTATAGTTATCTCTCATTAGACACATCCTTTGACAGATGGATGAATGACCCAAGCATGTTATTTACAGTTAGGTGGCTGTAACTTTGCCACTGCTATCATTATTGTCAATTTGTCATAGTTACAAGGCATAGTTACTGGTATGCAGTCCATTAGAGCAGAAAGAGCTGATTTTTCCAATTTTGTTTCTTTTGTTCAATTCATAGCCAGTATATAAGCTTGGAAAATTTCA